ATACGCGTACTCATGTGGAACGCAACGTGTCAACAGTATCGTCGTGTATCACGCAATCAGTTTAATCACACGCAGTGCGCGTGTCACTGGGCTAAGAACATTCGTTGTAGAAACTTATTGTATAGTGACAATAAAATCTCCACCTATGGAACAAAGTGAGTCGTCACCAAGGAAACGACGTCTTTTGTCGAAACGCCGTCGATTCTAGCCCCACTTGTTGTAATCGCTAACCACGTTAAAACCGGTGTCGAAGCGTTATCGACGGAAAAATTTCTGCCTGGGAATGCTGGGAACAAGAACTGTTAACTTTTTTATTTGAGGTAAGAGTCCGTATTTTAATTGTGACTTATGTCATGTATCTTTACGGCTTAAATTTTTTTACCGAAAGCCATACACTCAAATCACAATGTCAGTTTACGACACTTATAGAAAATATTCCCGTGCCCCTCACAAGATCAAAGGTTTTACGCACAAAGGTGGGTGATTCTCAGCAAACGGGCTATTTGGGGTTTCCTGAAATGTTCTTTCCTTTTTTGTGTGTGTCAAACTTGTTAGGTTTTCTGGTCGCATTGGTTTTTATCTATTAAATAAGATATGCGGTGATAGTTTAAATACCTTGTCTAGTAGAACGTTAAAAGACCATATTGCGGTCACATTCAAACAATAATGAAACTCAAGTATTGCTCGTATTGCCTCGTAGTTTTTTATTGGTCTTGTGTTAGCTTCACTTAGTGTCGTAGAAAGCTCCGTTAAACGGCCCATGGAAAGTGGGAATTTCACAAGAGACGGCATCGCCAAATTACATAGCAACAGAACGTTGTGGTTCAAAAGTTTGACATAACAGAAACGGCAAGAGCAGAGGGCTCACGCCGGGAGACCCACGTCGTGGGCCCCACTTTGCGCCCCGTCGCCATGCAACCGCTAGTCCTGCTCGTCCTGCTCGGCGCCGTCTGCGCCGGGGCGGATGCCAGCCTGACAGACACCGCCACCGCTCGCCCCGAGGCCAAGTGCATAGCCAGCTTGCTCTCCTCGATCCTGCCGCACAACAAGACCTGCCTCGTGCTGCACGGGGACACGCGGCTGGTCGGGCCACTGCTCTGGGAGCTAGACGGGGAGCTCGAGGAGCGGCAAGTACTATTGCTGGACCCGCGGATCATTCAAAGCCACCTCTGGTTCCAGATGAGGGATACGACGACCGTCGTGGTGATCGCGATGTCCAGCAGCGCCCAGCTCATCGAGTACATGGCTCAAGTGAAACAGTTCCCGTCGGTGTCTGCAATTATTTTGTGGACGCTAGAGTCGTCCCTGAAGGACGTTCTGGTGCACGCCACGAGAGGCTCAGTTCTGTGGCTGTGCAACTGGGACGTCTACATCGTCGTCTCCGCCCCTGACGGCACCTCTTCACAGTTCTCTCCGACGCAACGTAGAGGATGCGTCGCCACGTGGGAGTCTTTGAATGAGTTGACACAGAAGGATCAGTGTGCGCCGAGAGGCCGCCTCGAGAGCCGTCCGGGGGACCGTAACGGTGGCCGTCTCTGGGAGCGGCATCGAGTGCGACGGCTGTGCTCGGCGTGGAGGCCACCGCCGGAGAGCAAGGGGTCTGAAGGGTCTGCCCTCACCGTCCTCAGTCTGAAACCCGCTTGGAAAAACCCTGTTGTAGAAAATCTTTGTCATCTGGTAAGTAACCTGACAAATGTTGTAAACAGACAAAGACCAGTTGAGCTTCACTGGAGTACGAGAAGTGGTAAAGATATTCAAGAAGCGGTGCACAACTGCAACCTCAGCGCAGCTTTCCTCGGCTTCTTGGCTCCTGTTGGACTCTATCAACACATTCGGTACTCGACTCCGTACATGGTACACGTCGTGGTGATAGTCCCGGCAGGCCTCGGCCAGCGCCTTTCTCTCCTAGAGGCCGTGACGGACGAGTTCACGGTGGAGCTCTGGATCGCCACGGCCACGTCCCTGCTGTTTATGACGGCGGCCATGGCCGTGGCCTGGACGGGCCTGGGCCGGCCCCCGCTGCCCGCCCTGGCCGCCGCGAGCCTGCAGACACTCGCCCCGCTGCTGGGCCAGTCTCCGCCGGGTGGGACCGCGCACCGGCCGCTGACCGCCGTCTGGCTGCTCATGAGCGTCGTGATCGCGGCCGCCTACCAGGGGCTGCTGCTGGGGGAGCTCACCGGCCCGCAAGAGGAGATCAACACCCTGGAGCAGCTCGAGCAGAGCGGGCTGACTATCCAAATGGAGGATCACCTTTTCCTTACTTCTAGGTTTCGCCCCAGACCCGGCCTGGAGTCGCGAGTACGGTACTTTGCGCAGCCGAGGCTCTATACAGCGCTACAGAACGTGGCTGAGGGCCGCAACGCTGCCATAATTTGCCACACCGATGTACACCTGGCAAATGGGCCATCAAAAGGACTTCACACATTTATGATTTCTGGTTTTTCGCATCTCATGGCAAATATCATCTATACGACAGGCTCCCCTCTAGAAAATCCGTTTTGAGCGGTTTTGGGTTTGTCCGCCAATGGTGGTTTGGCTCAGCACTACTTCAATCTGGGAGCACGGGGGATGGACGTATTCACTGCCAATTCCAACGACACTAGTGGCCAGGCCCGCCCGCTTCGTCTGACTCAGGTGCAGCCGGCCTTCTTGCTCCTTACCACTGGATACTGCATTAGCGCACTTGTTTTCGCTCTTGAGGTTGCATTCCACAAATGGGTCACCCACAAAGAGAGCAGCGCACCGGTTCTTCCCTTTGTGCTCTAGGATAATTTATGCGGTGCGCCTCTAGGTCCTTTAAGGTTCTCTCGGCGGAGGGCATTGACGAGGCATGTCAGAGGGCAGCTGCCATATCGGACCGAACACGAGGTCGGCACGGCAGCTTCAGTCCCAGTTCTTTGGGGTTATTTTGGATTATTTTGGGCTATTGCGCGGCATTTCGCAGTATTTTGCAAAATTTCGCTGTCGTGGATATTCCACGACTATTTTGCTACCTGTTTCGCGTCCATTTCAGGTACATATCGCACTATTTCGCATATATTTTGCGAGCACACCCTGAATGGGGAGGGACAATGTTTGTACCAAGATAAGATGTGTCTGTCAGCACCGTTACGAAGTCTTCTGAACGGGGGTACAAATTGTACAAAGGCTAGGTACAAATGATGTTTTTAGACAGTCCCCTAAAGCCTATTACTCCACTGACCGAAAAAGTTTCATTCTGTTTCTGTGTTTTTTTCTGTGTTTGTTTGTTTCTGTGTTTGTTTCTGTGTTTGTTTGTGGCGTGTGTGTTTGTCTGGCCGCACGATAACTCGAGAAGGAATTGAGAAAGCGATCAGGGAATTTCAGAGGGTCGTTCTATATCATAATAAAAACACACATCGAGTTCGAAGATGAGCATTCTAACTCAAAAATTTACTTTAAAAAAATCAAAAACCACAGGTCGCAAAGTGTAGTTTTTATCTATTTTTTTTTTCATGGGTTTCTAAGGGGTAGGGTAAGATGTCCAATGATGGGCACCTTAAGAGATGGATCTGCCCAGTGATTATGGAAACCCCCTTTTCTCAGAATGTAGACAACGGAGCGAGGTAGCTTATTATACCACGGTAGGAGCTCGGGTAGGGGTCTTACTAGAACATTAGTTTCGTGACAAGCCGTGAAGTGACGAGTTTGGCTGCAAATCGAGGAAAGTGGCCATCACTGGTACAGTGGTACAGTCCCTTACTGGGCACCTTACCCTAACAAGTAATACAACCAGGACGAAACTTTGGTCCGTTTTGCTCTATCGTGTACCGTTTGGGTGCTAGAGGGCATTTCTTGACGAAAATAAGGTGAAATAACCAAATAGTCTATTAAATCGTAAAAAAAGGCTTCAAACCGATAAATTGTACCGGAAGTAATACTTAAACCACACATCTGGCGTTGAACTACGCCCTCCTTTGGGCTCAAGGGTCCCTTGATAATCTACTATCACTAAAACGTTGATTTTTACATAACAATCTGTCAAAATCAGGTCTTTTAATGAATATCTTTGTCAAACGCCAGAAGTTTCATTTCCCTAATAATTTAAGAGTAATAAGTCCCCGACAAATGCTGTAAGCATGGCAAATTTGGGGGCCGAAAGGCCCTATTTCCGTATACACTCCTGTTAACTTGTCTCTGGTGTCAGCGCCGCAGGCCTAGCTATATGTGTGCCAGGCGCGTCGCAGCGTAACAGTGTTTCGTGAGATATTGCGAAGCCTGCTACACGAGACGTGGTCTGGCGTACATTTAGCTAGTTAACAGTGCAGCATTGTCAAAAAGTGTCAAGTCACGAGTCAGGCGCGCTCCGGCCTTAAAGATAGTGTTTCTGTACTTTGCTACCAATTGTCTGCTCAATAAATACTTGGCAAGACAGCCTGCAGTCTGCTTTATCCTGACACGTCACCTTACCTACCCTCTCGCCCATTCTGCTCCATGCGTCCATGACCCCAGTTCGCGCATCCACCCCTCTTCTAGCTCATCAAGCGCACAAGTATAACACTAACTTTTGGAATCTTATTTTAAACCAAATGCCCCAGTAAACCTACACATCACAGTTGTTTCCAATAGATTGCTTCTTTTTTTGACTGAGCGATTAGCAAAGCCCATTACTCCACTGACCGAAAAAGTTTCACTCTGTTTGTTTGTGTGTTTGTCTCTTTGTCTGTCCGTTCGATAACTCGACAAGGAATTGAGATAGCGATCTGCTGGGAGTTTTAGGGTCGTTTGTACCAGAAAAAGACAGATTGAGTTCAAAGATGAGCATTCTAGCTCAAAAATTGATTTAAAAAAAAAATCAAAGACCACAGGTCGAAAAATGTATTTTTTCAACTACTGTATTATTTTATGGGTTCCTACGGGGTAACTCGTCAAAGTAGAACCCTATGTCCGAAAATTTCGTCGGTTTTGCTCTTTCTTGTACCGTTTGGCGTTCTTGGCGAAAATTAGGTGAAAATGGCCTAATGGTCTATTAAATCGTTAAAAAGGCTTTATAACGAAAAATTTATTGTAAAGAAATACATATACGACACATTTATCGTCGAACAACACCCTCCTTTTGGCTCAAGGGTTCCTCGATTACCTACTAAAACGTTTAATGTTACATAACAATCTGTCAAATTAGAACATTTAATGAATATATAAAACATGCGAAGTTTCATTTCCCTAATTTTGGAGTAAAATGTCCCCGACAAATGCAAAGAGCGCATGTCAAATTTGGGGGCCAGTAGGCCCTATTTCCGTATACACTCCTATTAACTCGTCTCGGGTGTCAGCGCCGCAGGCCTAGCTGTATATGTGCGCCAGGCGCGTCGCAGCGTAAGTGTTTCGTGAGATAACGCGAAGCCTGTTACGTGAGACGTGGTCTGGCGTACATATGGCTAGTTTAAGATAAATATTTATAACATTTTACATGTCATCTTTATTATAAGTTATACGCTCAACTCATGAAATCCACGTAGCTGCTCTTTGGTTAATGGTAGCAACCATTCCACACAGCCCGGGCTTAGAATATACGGCTGTAACCAGCCCTAGCTATTGCAGCTGAGGTTGGTAAAGTACAGTACATACATCTTTCGTAGTGCTAGACGACTTCCCCCGCCACACTGTCACACCAGTTGCAAAGCACCTCGGCCCCTGGCAGCACGCGCCGCGCGTCGGCACGCTGTCGGTCGCACGGGGCTGCCGCGTGAGTGCAGCCGACAATCCTGCCCAGCACGAGCCTCCGCAGCGCCCGCAGGCCGCACTGCTCCAGCAGCGAGGGCAGGTCGTCGCAGCTGAACGGCCACTCGCCGTCGCCCGCCGTGCCCACCCCCATCTGCAGCACCTCCAGCGAGCGGCCGAGCGCCCGCAGCAAGGTCTGCGTCGTGGCGCGGGGCAGGCCGTCCACCCGGAGCCACTGCAGGACGCCGGCGCCCGGCAGAGGCGCGGGCAGCTCGGGGACGCACGCGTAAGCGTTCCCCGTCACCTCCAGCCTCCGTAGCCGCGGCATGGCGTGCACCGCGAGCAGGTGGGCCTCGTCGGGGAAGTTCAAGCGGAGCTCCTCCACTGTGGCTGCGGCGCGCTGCAGCAGCTCGAGGCTCCAGATGGGGTCCTCGCGGCAGACCACGTTGACGAGGCGCGTCACCTGCGGAGGGAACGGAGTCACGGGGGTCGGAAACGGGGCCGAAGCAGACCCACGACTTGACGGGAGGTTGGACATGAGCCCCACCCAGTGGCCCCGTGTCCAGAGCAGGCTAATATTGGGCTTATTGTTTTGAGGCTAAACTGGAGGCTTGCCTGCCTGAGGTCAAGCGCACTCACCCCTGCTGCGTCCTGCAGGGCAGCGGCCTTCTCCTGCTGACGGTCGTCGGCTCCACTGTCGCTGATGGCATCCACATCCATCTCCAGCGCCTCGGCAGGTGAGAAGTCCTGGGCGGCAGGAGGCAGGCGCAGGCTGCCCACCGCGGCAGCTTCAGGGTCCAGGGTGGCAGGAGGCGGGCTGCCCACCGCGGCAGCT